CCAAGAAAGACGTAACCAACTATAGACCTATTTCACTCACGTCCATAACCTGCAAGTTATTAGAGCATATTCTGTATAAAGAAATAATGGCACATTTATCAACAAACAACTTGCTGGCGTCTCAACAACATGGTTTTCGTAAGGGCTTAGCTTGTACAACACAATTATTTGAATTTAACTATGATTTAGTATCTGAAATAGACAATAGCGGACAAATCGATTGCCTTTTTCTGGACTTCCAAAAAGCTTTCGAGACTGTGTCACACTCTTTTCTTTTAAGTAAGCTTGCAGCGCTAAACATTGACCGCGAAGTTCTGAAGTGGATAGATAATTACCTTTCAGGCCGCCAACAGTGTGTAGTATTAAATGGCAAAAAATCAATTTTGTAAACATCCCTTCAGGGGTGCCACAAGGCTCAGTCCTAGGGCCACTTTTATACTTAATATATATAAATGACATTTGCTCAGGAATTGATTCTAATATACGGTTCTTTGCAGATGACTGTGTCTTGTACAGAAAAATTAGAAATGAGAGTAATGTCGCCCTACTCCAAAGCGACTTACCGCGCATCCAAAAATGGTGTTCAAGGTGGAAAATGACATTAAATGCCAATAAATGCATTCATGTTACTTTCACGCTTAAAAGAACCAAGTTAGCTTCAGAGTATGTAATCTGTAGTAGTATAGTTACACAAAAACCGCATTATAAATATTTAGGTGTAACTTTTTCAGCCGACTGTTCATGGAATGCACACGTTAATTCAGTTGTTGCGAAGGCCGCCAAGTCACTAAAATTTATACAGCACAGCCTGACACAAGCGCCGGCATGTTTGAAATCAACGGCATATTCAACATACATTCGCCTTATGCTTGAATACACCTGTGCCGTGTGGGACCCCTGGCAAAGTACTTTAAGTTACAAACTTGAAAAAATATACAATAGAGCTGCAAGATTTGTCCTAAGCCGGTACTCAAGAAATGACAATTGCACCAATATGAAAATTGAACTAGGGTGGGAATTACTCTCATCGCGTCGAAAGAAACTGCGGCTAAAGCTCCTGTACCAAATATTTCATGGTAAAACCGGCATTCGAAAAGAAAAGTATCTTCACAGTCCTCATTATATTTCTTCGCGAAATGATCATTCTTTCAAGATTTTAGAGTGCCGGAGCAGATCTACTTTGTATGCTAATTCGTTTTTTGTTCGTTCCATTAGAGAGTGGAATCACTTATCAAATGAACAAGTGTGCTGTATTAATAAAGATGTGTTTTTCTCGACATTGTAACCTCCCTGCTGCAGCGTATTCGGACTAAGCGGGGTAATCATTCAATAAAGAAATGAATAAAGAAAAACAAAATTACCGAAATTCTCGAGAACCGCCCATCTGGCTCACCACAGGTAAAGCAGACCGCGTATGCCCTACCAGACACACCAGCAGACAACTCGCTAGCCACCCCGCACACGTGCTTTTCTGCACCTACTAAACCGCCGAGTACAGCCGACGCGTCTTCCAGTCAATTAACAACTGCTCGGCACGGTACTATGACTGGTCATGCCACGTACATCTACTACATGCTATTTGCGGCTTGTCTTCTCACATGACAGACAAGACAACAAAAGCAGCCAGTTATATGCCGTCACCAATGCTGTTTTCAGCACCATCGACATCCCATCTGCATCACCCATCAATCTCGGCAACGTTTGCACCTACGTAATGCCAAACCAGCTGGCCTACACATGCTATGCGAACACACCACTCTGTTTTTCCGATACCTTGGCCTAAGTGTGCGCAAGAATCGCCAGCACTACATGAACTTGCGATTGTAACCATTTTCATTGCGCAGCGCTGCGGAATTTCTCGGCCCATGGCTCATTCTCACACTATATGCTTCGCTCGCTCCTTCCAAGAGCGCGCTCTCATCATGGCCCTTGTCCGCGCGCTCTCATCGACCCGCCCACTAGAGGCCATCTGGTTCCCGATGGCCTACCCACAATGACATCCTGCACTACCGAATGGACACCTTACGGATTGCCGTTCATGTATATAGTATTTGACGCTCTCGTTCTTTTCCCTCATACCGTCAAATCGCGGAAAGCTCTTGGGGAGGAGCCCTGTAGTGCCATAATCACCTTAATTATTTCTTGACCACCATGCTGCGCCTCTAGCGCAGATGATTCTAGCTCAAGCTCCGCGTGAACAGAACGAGCTCACGCACCTGGCGTGCCGGGCGCTGGCAGCCACCGCGCCTCCGCTTCGGCGCCCACGAATATAGGGGTGAGTTTGACACGGCCACATCGGCTGCCTTCAACATCGTCTCACGTCTCTCACCTCGCTCGCTACAAAGCCAACCATACTGTGGCTAGACAGTAAACTTGGGGTCTTCGGTTGAGGAAAAGGCCACCGTCCGGCGCAAAATCACAAAGGCGACTGCTTTCTCAGGTTATACCAGTGCGGGGTCTGAATGCGGTCCACCACCTCAGGTGTGTGCCATTGCTTGCGCGGTGTGCCGCTGGGCGCTGGTGCGAGCTCGTCAGACCGTGACAAAGGGCTTCAGGCTTCGATGTGGGCACAGCTTAGTTTTACCGAAAAGGGGGATCTTTGAGTGGGTACGCGCTACGGACGCTCACTGACAATTGGTTCATAAGACCGAGTGGCTTGCCAACCCTTGGTTCCGCTGTTTGTCAGACATGGCAGGCATGTAAATAGCGATAAATGTCACGCATCGTTCTGGGCCAGGTAACAACGCTGCTCAGTTTGCGAAAACTTTCGAACCACTCAGGTGACCGGCCATGAGTTCGTCATGAGAGGATCACAACAGTGTGGCTCTCAAATGTTTTGGGCATAGCCACCTTGAAGGGATCCTCAGACGTCTCGCCGGTGGGTAAATAGTTCAGCAGGAGCCCGTCATGGTTCAGCAAAATCAGACTCAGCGTCAGACTCAGCTACACATGCTGTTTCCAACACTCCATTCGCGCCCGCTGCAGAACAAGCAGGACACTCCCTCTAGACAGGCGTTTTCGGCGCTGCCACAGAGCAAGCAGCCTATACGGTGACGCTCAGCTCTCCGAGACTAGATACGGATCCATTTGATGAGCCTTCAGTAGTTCTTCCCTGCTGAAAGCGATTCCCATTTTTTCAAAAAGGGGTCTAGTATCGCTCCCACTCAGGACCGCAGCTACCGCGGCATGTATGGCGTCACGGGTTCGCTCTCAGCACCTTAGCCTTCTGAAAACTGCCCCGCTCGGTCGCTATGCGGTGCGCCGCTTACATATATAGACGCAAAATGCGTCTACGTGGGGTCGCCCCCTTTTCGCCGCTCTTTCGCCCCCGAAGCTTGCATGTGCAAAGGCGCCGCGAGCGGCTGTCGCACTGGGATCAAGGTTCTCGGCAGACAACAGGGGGCACGAGATAGCACGTCAGCTACCACGTTGGTTGTGTGTTCATCACCACAGGGGTGACGACACGGACAGGTGCAAAAGTGGTGCCCATTGATAGAGGCAACGGCTTTTCTGTACAATGCGGCATCCGCCTAAAAATACCAGTGGACAAAAATGCCACAACACAGGCATGGTCCGGCTGGCCCGAATGGCGCATGCATATTGACTCGCTAAGAGCACACAAAACCTTTGAGCTTTTGATGCCGTGTTGGGTGTCAGTGTGGTGCACAACGTTGGGTACCAGTGTAGTGTACACGTATCTCGAAGGAGTACAGCTGCTAGCATGGGTCCGGTCTTAGTGAGCCGGCGCGTTAACGGTCATCGAAACACGGTACTGCTCAAGATCGCAACGCGTTATTGTCGACGGCTACTCAAAAACTCATTAGAGAGCCCGTCGCAAAAGGCATGGCTGGAAAGCAAATGGGCTTATCTACGCATGGCCGAGAACTACCATAGAGGGTGCATCGAGCACGTCTTTATGTGCAAGAATGATTCACCGGGACAGTGGGATCAAAGGACCTGGTCGCATGTGCGAGGGCGAAAATCCGCTCGCGTTGGCATCTGAGAGATACGGGTCGGCATAGTCTGACCACCCGCTACGACACCACACTGCTCTTCAGCCTAGCGTTAGCAAGGGGCAACACAAGGTGACCGCCGCAGGCGCAAGGTGCCATTGGCGAAGTCCGACGAGCCCCGAACAATAAGAGCCTACGAACAGAAAAAAAGTGCGTGCTCAGCGTCAGCTGTCCCGGAAAAATCTGCCTCAATTCCAACGCGCATGCGCGAAACGTCCCGTGAGGCTCCGCACACGGCACCACAGTCGACATCCGCTACCATGTGAGAGGCCTTAAACGTCACTCCCCGCTCCTCCAGCATGACAAATCACCGAGGAGGGGGAAGTCATGTCAGGACATGAGAACGGCAGATGTAGGTGGCAAAGCCAGCCCAAAATTGGCAGGCTACCCTCAATTCCCACAAGCCTTACTGTCCCAAAATTCTCATAAAAACCCGGTATTGCCTGTGGAAAGCTGCAGTTTGCATATCACCGCCTGAGGTCGACAAAAGATCTTGTATTGGGCCAAGGGGGTAACTACGACCTACGCCAGGTAGACTCCTGTGACACCTTCACCTTCACACACTTCTATCTTGGCGTAAAAAAACAAGCCTTCTGATTCTCCGCGCCTGACTAGAATATGACACGCTGCGGGATGAGGACGTTGGCCGAAGTTCTGCGTTTCTGTAGCGACACTCTAGTAGTTGCGTCAATTCTTTCACCTATTATACTCGCATCGTTCAATACTTAGCTATCACAAATCCCTGTTTAATTACTCATCATGAACGTTAGTGAACGAATAGACGTGTACACTTAAGAATCAACCTCGGTGCACGTTAGGCCACCTTGGCCTACTTTTTTGCCACATTTATTACATTTGTGTCAAATACAAAAAATAGTTGCTGTACTTTGTCTGTCTTTTACATCACTGTATGTAATAAAACGGGCTATTAGGTCGCTTTGTCATATTAGAGCCTGCCCATCTATGATTGTCCTGATTTTCACGCAGGTGTTTCAGCGTTACTGTCCTTGCTCTCGCTATGCTGGGCAATTATCGACTATGACATAGCCTTATGGCGCCACATCTTCAAGAGGCCCGGTGGAGTGATTCTGCACGAATTTGGGAGGATCCTTGTGGTGCTGACACGTCTTGTGACTATGACCATGATGGCAATTGTTAAAGATAGCGAGGTTTTTTATTTATTTGGTGAGTACGGTTCGCCCAATTCATAGGTTGTTTATGCTGCATATATTTTAGCTGCAATTAAATGGTCAGAAAGAAATTATTTCTTCAAGGTTGATGAAGGCTTTGTTTGATTACTCATGGTTATCAAGAACATCTTTCATTGCCCACTAAAACAGGCGTGTCATTACCGCATGTACTCATGTATTAGCAGCGTACACAACATTATAAAGGAAAATGTGCAAGATGTATTTAAAAGATTGTGTGTATTTACCTAATGCTTCAATTTTACGGCAAAAATTCTTATGAGATGACAAGCATGGTGCGGTAGTTGTCCGCCGCCCCCACGAGCACTGGTGTCGTGTAAAACAAAAACAAAACGGAAAAATTAATAACCAGACTGGAAAAAAGATTCGAAACTGGGTCCTCTTCCAGTGTTTTACTACTAAGCGATGCCGGTGCTCAAAACTTCACCTTCAGAAAACCCTATACGAGTGCCACGTCGGGAATAAACCCGGCGTAACATCATATGCCAGAAGTAAGCACGCACCGCAGCGCCTCTAGCGCGTGTTCTAAGTATTTGGTAACACCGACGGGAGAACGAAGTATGAACTTAGGAAGGTTCAATCCTGAAATTCTTGCTCCACGTGAGAATCACACTCTGGCTGTTTGTGAAGAAATTGAGTGTAGCATAAAGCAACGTTATTGCTTTGAAATGCTTTAGGTAATAAAACTCAAATAAATGTCGTGTAGTGGAGGAGGTCTCGTTAATACATGTTAGGTTTCGTGGCACAATCTAAGAACGCCGCGAAACGTCGAAACACGACAACTGCGTGACGGGTTGGTTAATTGTTTCAGAAATGGTTCACAACAGCTTCTAGCCCCAGTCGCGAGACGAAGTTGGCCACTTTGCGATTGGTCACATTGGTCGCAAAGTAACTGCGTTGGATAATCTATTTTCAGTCACGTGACTGTGGTCGAAAAACGTCTAGAACCCATCAGCGAAACCTAGAACTGACGTCAGCATTTTTTTACACCTAGGCACTTTAGATATCTTGTTTTTGTTTTTTCATCTAGCTGGCCCACTGTCACCAGATACAAACAAGTGCGTTCTTTTGAGCCACCATGGCGACCATGGAGCCCTCGATATGGAGATGGCAGCTCGAACAAAGTTTTGGATGCTAATGGTGACATTTGAAAGAAGCTAAACGCCATCAAAAGAAAGAGAAAGTGCATTATGCACTACCTTCCCCTTTTGTCAGAATCATTCCTCGTCTTGGACTTGGCTTGCCACCACCTTCGATACTGCGCGTTTGGAAGGCGTTCGTACGTTTGAGTTGCCTTCCCTTGCCACTGCCTACATTCAGCTTAAAAAAAGCGCGTTCAAGACGCATTTGTGGGTATTGGAAATTCTGGCAATTCATAAAAGTTGAGTAGCGTTTTTGATAATGTTACTCTCGGAATTACTCCTCATCGTGTAAGCGCAGGTTGGAAAGCAGGTGGCCTGCGTGGCCAGCCACCTTTCGCCAGTGAAGGGATGGTAGCATCTACCACACTTTTAGGGGCGAAGCTCCTTAAGGCGGCCACCGTTCGTCCGTCTAGTCGTCCACCACTTTTCACCACTTTTCATTACTAGACGCGCACAATGTAGTGTACGGAAATACCTTTGTTTGGACATGGCGACGCGGACGATCTTCCGGCAGGCTCGACCGGGCTTATATCTCACGAGCGTTAGAGGCGTTCGTTTCCGATTTATGTGTTCCGTCCTTTCAACCTTCTCCTGTGTACGTGTATGATCATCCCCCACTTGTCTTGAAGCTCGAAGTTTCATTTTCTTTTTCGGAAAAGCTTTGATGCTCGCGTCCTGCAGGATGCGCGCTCAAGATCAGGTTTGTCACGCGCAATACGTGTGTCACTCACGGCCTCGGATCCTGAAGATTGGGAAGCGCTTAAAACACAGTGGTGCCTGCGCTGTGCAGTGGAGGGGCGTTCGCTTCGTCGACGCGTTTCTGAAGAGCTTGCTGATACTGCGATGAAGTTACACATTGCTTTGCGCACCGAGACACCTTCTTCTCTGATGCGAGCGTGGCAGCGTGAACTGCGTGACCACCTTCAGGGCTTGACTGCTGCTTCGTCCCTGACGGCAGCAGCATGGCGCTGTAGACACAACCCATGTGCACATACCGAGGTGCTGCGCTACGCGAGACATTCGTTTTTAGGCAATCACAGCCATCTGTCTCTAAGATAGCCCAAATAACACCTGTGCAGCGGCTTCCTACGCGTGATCAATCTGTTTTCTTGGCGAATTTTGAAGCAAGGTCGTGTTCGGCCATGCGGACTAACTGTGATTAAACACCGCCAATGCTTAGAAGTTTGCCCCGTATTCCTCAAGAAGCTGCGGATTACCTGCACATCCCTCCATCGGCTGAAGAGGTAAAAGCGGCACTCAAATTTATAAAACGTGGAACGGCCCCTGGGCCAGACGGTTTTCCGGTTGAGTTTTACTTCCCATTTTGGAATGAGATTGGTGCTACCTTTACCGCGGTTATCCGGCGATGCTACGAGGACGGTGTCTTCCGATCAAGTTTTCGAGATGGACGCATTGTGCTTATTCCAAAAGGTGATGCTTCCTCTGTTAATCCTGAAGCTTGGAGACCTATCACGCTCCCCAACGTTGACTATAAGATGTTCGCGGCGGTAGCTATTCAACGTTTGAGGGGTCTGTTGAACACTTTGGTAGGTCATCACCAGACTTCATCAGTGCTTGAACGAGAAATACACAGCTTGTCATTTACCACACGAGATATCATAGCCTATACTCTGTCGTGATGTGCGCATGGTATCCTTGTGTCTTTGGACCAGGATAAAGCGTTTGGCCGACTAGAGCCCGCGTATATCCTTAATGTGCTCACAGCCTTCGGTTTTTATCAGTCGTTTGTGAAAATGATTAAAAATACGTACACTGGTCTAAAAAGCACACTAGTTCTGGATGGCTGGGAAAGTGCCACCTTTTTAATGCCACGTGGGGTTCGTCAGGAATGTTCAATGTCTCCTGTGCTATTTGTTCTCAGCCTTGAGCCATATTTGCGTGCTCTTGACGGGAATTCACGTGTCCGGGGTCTTGCGCTTACTGGTAGCGGTCTCGTGAAAAACACAGCTTTCTCTAATGGTGTAACTTTGTACCTTTCAGATGAAGATTGCCTTTCACGCAGCCTGCGTGCATTTCTCCAGTATGGCGAAAGCAAGACCAACCCTCTCTAGTCATTGCGGCTTGTACTGTAGAAAGTCGCATGTCCCCGGCAGCTTTTATCCACTACAATGCCCGATCTCGGTGTTTTAGCTTCCAATTTATGTAATCGAAAGTGTAAATATGATCAATAATGGGCCAGTTATGATCAAAACTACATTATAACGATAATTAGACTCTTTGTAACTTAAAATCTACAATCTTCACAGCAACCGTGGCACAAGAAGTACGGCCCTAAGCCTAGTGGTCGTTTCGGCTAGATTGAACTGCTGCAGTTGTCGTTCGTGGAACGTAAACGAGGAGTACAGAAAATACTTCCAAACTATCGAGGGGCGAAATCTACAATGCTCAGTGAGCAGTTCCGATAAACGCTGTTTTATACATAGATATGACTAACCACATAGCGAATCACTACGATTGCCGTAACACATCTGCAGCTACGCTAACAAGCATTGCGGCAAGACGTGCCAGATGGATGTAAATCAAGGCAACCCGCAAAGAATGAGCTAACAATCACAAGTTTGACGCGAGCACGAAGAGACGAAAAACTGGAATGTAAACGACAAGTTCAAAATATTGGATACCTGAATCACTTTTAAGATGAAGAAAAATAAAGTCATTTACGTGCTTCAGGTGTGGAGTAGTGGGCAGCAGGTATAACTCAAAATACATGATGAATTAGGGTAATAGGTTTGACACCGGCTTACTCAGTTTTTTTTCTCTTTCTTACTTTTCCCTTGCGCGCGTGTTTCAGCCTTAATTACGATGTGCGCATGACCACAAATTCTAAACACAATTTAAAAGCCAGATATTCGCCGGTAATTGGCGTCTCAGTGTGCAGCGCTAGCGTGTCTCGTGCAGCGTGGCGCTGTCTCAGTGTCAGCGCCACACTGGACACGGCTCTAGTAATCAGGTATGGGGCTGGGCTAGTGCCACTGGTTTTTGCAATAGGGTCTTGAGAGTGGACACGGGCGCTGGACTGGAGCTGGCACACTTTTCACCTTGACTGCTAATGTCTTGGGATCAGTAAGGTGGATCTTTCGGTTGCACAGAAAAGTCGCCTTCAGGTGTTCATTTCATCGCAGATAAACCAGCCGAAAAAGTGCTAACACATGATGTGTGCTCGAGCGTTGCGAGCTCTGGAGAGGGTGAAGCGAGACATAAGGGACACGTGCACACATGTTTCAACGCGTACATTGGGCACGCGTCAGTTGACTCCACGTAAACTGACGAGGCGGCGTTGTAGCGAGTGCTGGTCACAGTTACGCTCTAAAAGGGGGTTGCGGTTAGGTTACTGAGCGAGCGTTGGTGGTTGCAAGTGTTGTGAGCGAACGGATGAGGCAGCAGCAGCGCGCGGCGGCAAACGCGTGGCAGGCGAGGGATAGAGTGAAGTCAACGCTCACTGCGATAAGAGCGTGAAATCAACGTGCAGCGGCGGCGTAACCTACTTGGCACTGCTCCAATACCTGCGGCAAAGAGAGCGAATTGTGGCGCGTTCGTACGAAGGTGCGCTGGGACACCGACAGCGTTACGCAGGCTAATCAAACAGCCGTTTAACGTCTAAAAACTATGCTAGACAATCTCGCTATCGACATGATCGTGAACAACAGCGCCGCATGTCGTAACTTTGAGGCTCCGGCGACAGCTATCTTAAGCTTATCTTTTTTCACGTAGAAGATAAATTCAGTAGATATTTTAGAATACTTTAAAATGACAATTTCTACGCGCACAAACGCTCTTCTCTTCGTGGTACGCTCGAATACATTGCTCACGGCAT